TCTTCCTTCCATGTGTTCCTTCTCGTGAGACATCTCCTCGTCTCTTACATTCAGCTCAAATCACGCCCACTACCATGAACAATTTCACTAGTCTAGATGCCCTTAGCAAATCAAGAAGGCGAGCATCGGGCGCCAACTTGCATGTCACATTATCCCACAGTTGAACCCGGAAATTTGCGTACTCTTTCGAATCAACAATCCAACTTCATGTCCTACCCGATTGTACTCCTTCTCACCGTCTTTGATAGTGAAGTAAGCATTGACGGTGACCTCTACTACGCATGCACTTTTTGGATCAATTACGCAACAATAGTTACCAACATATGGATGGGAGACCACATGTAAGGACCAATCGATAGCAAATTCCAAGTTCGGGGATGTAAAATTGCAATTCCAAGTTCAAGACAAATGACGGTGACCTACCAGCAAATTAGATAAATAAAAATTACAATAAGTTGCAGAGGCTTAGAAGACAGAAAAAAGGATCTTACCCATACGGAACCTCGGCCGGATCCATTCTGCTCAAATCAGACACCAATTGCTCAAAACACTATAAGAGAAAAGACTAGGGTTTAGAACCGGGAAAATAAGGGAGGAAGAAGAGGAATACGAGGATACACACATGGAGTAGAGGCGTGCACAGTCGAGGCAGTGCACTGGATGAGGCGCTGTTGCTATGGAGCTGAGCCACGCTTGGGAAGCGTGCCACACACTCTCTTTCTCATGGGGCGGCCTTGGCCAAGACCGGAGGTCCACAGTGGCGACTCCTCACACAGGAGCAAGTCAGGAGGCTTTTGGTAGTCCTCATGGCTGTGTTGGTTTGCCCAAGGGCAAAAGCGGAAGTTGAAAAAATGTGTAATCGGCACACGGGTGAAAAGGGATTAACGATCTTATAACTGAAGCAAAGCGGAATGGTACATAGCTATTGCATTGTGATCTTTTGATGGTAAGTATCATAAGGTGATTCTTTTGATGGTATACATCTAAAGACACGTTTTTTTGATGGTATGGATCTAATTTTCCCTATAAGTTGGATCGAATTTATCAGTGGACCTAGTAGGACCCATCAAAGGCTCAATTGTGGGCGGCTAAGACTGTCTCCAATAAGGAATCCATATAGGTATCTAAATCTAAAATGGAGTATGAGAGATCTAAAATCACCTCCAATAGATGATCATTGCACGGGAGACCTATTTTGGGTTGCCTTCGACATGTACAACTCAAATATAGGACATCTTTTTGGAAACTTATTCGTAGAAATGATTCTCTTTTTGGATTTGATTGTCGGAGAAGATGCTAAATATGTATAAAATCTTGTGTCTCAGTAGTGTTATCTAAATAACGAATATGCCTTGTATTTTGGATGTTGTCGTTGAAGATAAGGAAAGCCAGCTAGATAACAAAGTCGCTGCGCATGGAACTTCGAGGCAGAGGGCGAGGCCCCGGCGACCGGGTCCGGCGGCAGCTGCAGTCGGTGGGGCGGCTGGCAGCATACTTCGGCGGAGGATTCTCCTCTTCTCCGCCGCCTCCTCCGTAGCTGTCCGCTCCTCCGCGCCCTCTCCGACGCCAACCAGGTGCGCGCTCGCCCCGTTCCCCACCCTCCGAAGCGCGAACCCTTTCGGTTTCTGCTGTCGTGCTGCTCCGCGCCGCGATTGACTCTAGTGTCCTGCGCTTCGTCAGAGGAAGTACGCCATGCCGTGCGGCGCGTGCGAGGGAAGGGCACCCACGCGTGCAGGCTCTGCAGGGGCAGCGCCACCGTCGAGTGGTCTCCGATGCACGACCCGGTGTTCGTCAACCCGTGCCTCTGCCCTACCTGCGATGGGACCCGGTTACCCACCTCCGCCGCCGCTACTGCTGCTAAGTTCCTGTGATTATGGACTTATGATATGGATGTTTGCTGATTTTTCCTGTTTTATTTATCAGGGTGCAGCGTTGCTTGAACTGCCTGGGAAATGGTTATGCTTGAAGAAACAATGTGCTTATCTTGATCGATGAACTTTCCTCGCACGGTTAGTTTTCACTATGGTAGATGATTGTTGGGAGTCCATTAAACACAGGGAAACGAAGCTGCTCTTCTTGCTGTTGGGAGTGTGCTTGATGGATTGTTGAATTGAATGATTTCTGCAGGGTGCTGTTCCTATTCAAAATGAGAGATCAACGGGTGAAATGGAAGTGACATGCTTGTACACCCTTATGTGCCAGAAGTACAGATTTCAGTTGTTTGGTGAAAGATGTATCTATGGTTGTAATGAAGCTCATTGTGGGCCATGCGTACAAGCCAAGATCATGGTGGCAAGTCATTTGCTCAATTTTTCCTATCTGTTAGTTTATGAGATAGTTCATTGCATTTCTGTAGTATGTATCTTCTTGGCCATTTTCATCCTAACCACATAGCAATGGTTTGTTTTGCCTGAACTGAAACTGAAGACTGCTAACTATCTTCTTTTTTTCTACTCGCTCTTAGAATAGTCAGAACGTGTCTCTGTCGGAGTGAACTGGCCAATTAATTCGTGTCTGATGTCTGTATTCTTAAGGACCTGTCATGTTGAAGGAAAATGAAAGATGCTGGGCTATACAACTAACACCGATAGTAACCTTATGCCTTCTTTTCAGACTTATTCTTAGAATTTGTACAGACGACGTATTCGTCATCGTGCAAGAATAGCTTGAAGGATGGTGTCTAGTGTCCACAGAGAGAATTAATAGAGCCATTCCGTCTTCAAGATGTACAAACCTAGATGCCCTACGAATGTCATGTCTTAAACGTGCCTTCTTGCACTTCACATGAAGAGCCCCTGAGAGCATATGAACCCATGAATCGACGATATATTGCAGACACCATGAATCGACGATATATTGTGGCCTGCAGACCATGACATGACCTCACACGGCTATGATATTCTGTTGTGGTAACAACATGACGTTAGAACCTTTCCTCTCCCATTTTTCCTAGTGCAGTTTCACTACCTCGTGTTCCATTCAGCAAAGGGGTATAGATGTTCACACTTGTATAACTATCCGACATCACTGACATTGATGTTTTGGTCCTTCTCTGAAGGTGCAATTGATGCAATAGAAAAATTGTGCCATCATGTGCACTCCCAATCAAATTCTGCTAATGCTCGCATTCCTCAGCCTGAAGGAGTTTCAGAAGTTGAGCAACAGGGGGTTTCTATAGTGCAAGTATTGCAGTTGACCTGCATGCCAATCAGTGATGTGACGTCCAAAAAATTATGGCTCAGATTGTTCATCGTAACCACCTTTTTGCTGTTTACTTCAACTTGGCCTATTTTGTGAGCGGTTGCAATGATAACTGAATACGATTACAGGGTACAGGAAATCTGTTGGTCAACTGTTCTTGTATCTGCCAAGTGTGTATGGCTCAAGATCAAATATCTTCCACCCTGAAGTATCATGTGTTCCCCGTGAAGCTTCAAATTCAAAAAATTGCAACCAGAAAGATGCCATCCAAATATCCAATGTGTGCAGCTTATCTGGAACAAAAGGTTTGCCATGTGGTTTGCAGATATACTCTGAAAGATATGTGGTTTGCAGTTGCAGAAAGCTCTTGTTTTCTTCTTTGTGGTCTACTTGCCTGTGAACCCAATAAGCTCAAGCATGTTAGGAACATTGGTTGGTACTTGGTGATGTTGCCTGTTGAAAAAAACTACTAGGGTCAGGGAGGCTAGTACCAGATACTACTAAAAAATCCCCTAGGTGTGTTGCACCCATATATTTACTATGTGCAATTATATGTTTTTGAGAATGCTAGAAAAATATGAAAGGATAATAGGTAACCCGATAAATGAACACGAGAAAAGCTGTATTCATTTTGACACCTTATACGAACAGATTTATGAGTGCTGGGTGTGATCGTAATTTTGCTCTCTTATTTCCTCACGTTTCACATGTATTTGTCCATAATCTACTGTGCACATTAATATAAATTGACCATTTACACGCCTAACAAATGACATGTCGCAAACAATTTTCTCTGTCAAAACGTTATTAAGGGTAGAGGAGTGAAAACGCTGCAATAACTATGCTCTTGATTTCCACAATGCAATAGATATTTTAAAAATGTTTTACTTCTATATGCTGTACTCCGGGGCTATGAACGAATTTGATGAAAACGGAGGGACGACGATGTACAACAAGAAAAAGAAAGGACGTCTGTCTCCTTGACTCCTTGTATCCCAACCTAGAGAGGAAGAATTTTTATTTTAACACTTTTTGTAAACTAATTTTGAATCTAACACTGTTTTTTTTCTTTAAAACTAACTAACTCGGCACGTGAAAACTTATCTGTGCGCGCTATGCATGGTAAGCGGCGTGAGAAGATAATTTAGGCGCTTCTTCAGTGGCGTGGCGGGGTTGCCAAATGCCAGCCGTGGATCGCAGCGCAATGATTGGCATCCCCTGCTATGCATGACGACTCTGCACTCTGCTGTGACTCTGCCGCTCTGCGAGTCATGTGGTAGAAAGGATGACGAGCACACCGCCACGTGAGCAAGTGAGGCGATGTGGATCACCGGGGCTTAAAACCACGCTTCCAGCTAGTTGAGTCAAGTCTATTCATGCAAAAGGGCCTTACATGAGATGACTATTCTAGCAAGGTGCGACGTAAGCACCCAACCGATGTATGGATGTGCATGCTCTAGATAAATTTAGTAAAGGAATCTTGATTAATTTATATAACTAGCATGGATCAACGACCCTAATTCTTGTCGACATCACTATTAATAGTAAAAGATGACGTGTATAAAGAAAATGGTAACTAATCAAGTAAGTGATATTTAATAGAGTAATATTAATTGTCTCATGAATGGTATATATAACGTGAATGGTGCCTAATTAACGTAGTTCTTGTCATATGGTGTTGAGTAGTAGTAAACCAAAAGAGTAGAATATGTCACATCTCTAGTTTGCTTGAGCGGCTATCTCTCTCAGTATGCATGAACAGTTAGTGCAACATGAACAGCTACCTATATGTGCATGAACAGCTACCTATGTGTGCATGAACAGCTAGTTGAGCCTAGGGTGACATGCTAGTATGAGAGCTACAAGTACCGGCCCAGGTGGGACATTACACTCCTATCGATCGTCGACTTTCCTTGTGAGCCCCAAAAACGAGTACACTATTGCTCAATGTGTGTGTTGCAAGTCCGATCAATGCGTGTGTGTGCTGGTTCGCTTGAGACGATTGAGCAAATGCTAGAAAAATATGAAAGGATAATAGGTAACCCGATAAATGAACACGAGAAAAGCTGTATTCATTTTGACACCTTATACGAACACCTTATAAAATTTGAGTGTTCTATGACCTTAAAATAATCTTGCTGAATCATCTCAAGCGAACCAGCACACATACACATTGATCGGACCTGCAACACACAAATTGAGCAATAGTGTATTCGTTCTGGGGCTTATTGAAGTGAAAGCCGGACGACTCATAGGAGCAGGTAATATCCCACCCGCCGGGTACTTGTAGCTTCATACTAGCCTGTCACCCTAGGCTCAACTAGCTGTTCATGCACATATAGATAGTTGTTCATGCTGCACTAACTGTTTATGCATACAGAGAGATAGCCGTTCAAGCAAACTAGGGATGCGATATGTTCTACTCTTTGGTTTACTACTACTCAAAACACCGTGATGACAAGAACTACGTTAATTAGGCACCATTCACGTTATATATACCATGCATGAGACAATTAATATTACTCAATTAAATATCACTTACCTGATTAGTTACCATTTTCTTTATACATACCATCTTTTATTATTAATAGTGATGTCGTCAAGAACTAGGGTCGTTGATCCATGCTAGTTATATAAATTAATCAAGATTCCTTTACTAAATTTATCTAGAGCATGCACATCCACACACTGGTGGGTACTGCACGTCTGCACCTTGCTAGAATAGTCATCCCATCTACAGGATGCTAGTCCTTTTGCATGAATAGACTTGACTCAACTAGCCGGTGCGTGTTTTAAGGCTATTCGCACCCTATGCGGATCACGCATCCACATTCAGTCTCACTGCTCACGCAGCGGCCGCGTGCGCCGCCTACCTACCTACCCGCTTCACATGGCGACTTCGCAGAGCGGGCAGAGTCGCAATGATGCAAGAGGAAAGAGAATGAACAACCGAGTGCGGGTCCGACCTGGGCCTTGCCGCCACCATGCTCCAAGCGGGGCGTCGATGCCGCGCTAGACCATGCAGGCGGCAGCCCCAGCATCGCCGGTCATTCCCGGTCGTCGCCATCGTCATCCTCTCGCCACGCCACCATGCATGGCGCGGCACAGATGCTTTTCGCCGCGCCCCGAGAAATAGGCGCGACAAAAGTGTTAGTTTAAAAAAACAGTGTTAGAATCAAAATTAATTTACAAAAGTGTTAAAATAAAAAATCTTCCTCTCTAGCTTGGGATACAAGGAGTCAAGGAGACAGACGTCCCTTTCTTTTCTTGTTGTACATCGTCGTCCCTCCGTTTTCATCAAATTCGTTCATAGCCCCGGAGTACAGCATATAGAAGTAAAACATTTTAAAATATCTATTGCATTGTGGAAATCAAGAGCATAGTTATTGCAGCGTTTTCACTCTCTACCCTTAATAACGTTTTGACAGAGAAAATTGTTTGCGACATGTCATTTGTTAGGCGTGTAAATGGTCAATTTATATTGATGTGCACAGTAGATTATGGACAAATACATGTGAAACGTGAGGAAATAAGAGAGCAAAATTACGATCACACCCAGCACTCATAAATCTGTTCGTATAAGGTGTCTAAATGAATACAGCTTTTCTCGTGTTCATTTATCGGGTTACCTATTATCCTTTCATATTTGTCTAGCATTTGCTCAATCATCTCAAGCGTAACCAGCACACATACGCATTGATCGGACCTGCAACACACACATTGAGCAATAGTATACTCGTTCTTGGGACTTGCT